AGGCCTCCAGAGCTTTCTGTTTCACCCATGGTCAGAGCCCAACTCCTAAGAATGGCATTCAAGGCCTCTGTGCCTTCTCCAAGGCCTGCGATTCTGCAGCGAGTGAGAAGTACTTCCCTGGGGCCTCTGCCTGGCCTGCTCCGTGTGAGGCTCCCTGTCCACACTTATTCACCTGCCAGCCTCTTCACTTTCTCTGAGTGTTGACTTCAGGGTCACAGTTACCGTTCTGTTTGAAAGAGCCTTCTGTGTACCTCCCACCATCAGTCTCTCTGATCCTGCTTACTTTATGTTTCTTCCGTATCGTTTATTACCTTATAACATATAAGAAAATGTGCACACTTCTGTGTACTGTCTGTCTCCCACTGCTAGACTGCAGACCCATTCAGGTGAGGGCCTTCGCCTGTTTTCTTCACTGATGGATTCCAAGTGCCCCCATAGTGTCTGGTGCTGAGTAAACACTTACTCAGTTGGATACATTAACTAGTTGGATAAATTAACATCCTCAGAGAGATAAGACACCAAAACCAAGAAATACAAATAAGGGCCAGGTACGGTGGTTCACACCTGTAATCCCAGCACTTTGGGAGGCCGAGGTGGGCGGATCACCTGAGTTCAAGATCAGCCTGGCCAACATGGTGAAACCCTGTCTCTACTAAAAATACAAAAAATTAGCCAGGTGAGGCTGGGGGCACCTGTAATCCCAGCTACTTGGGCGGCTGAGGCATAAGAATCACTTGAACCTGGGAGGCAGAGGCTACAGTGAGCTGAGATCACGCCATTCCACTGCATTCCAGCCTGGGCAACAAGGTAGAAAGCCCATCTCAAAAAAAAAAAAAAAAAATACAAACAGGATACTATATAAAAGATACACTGAAATGAAAAATAAATTCCAGAAAAGAAAAAAGAAATGAAACATTCGATAGAAGGACTGGAAAATAAAGTTGAAATCTCTCAGAAAGTAAAGTAAAAAGACCAAGGGGTGTAAAACAGAAGAAAGAAAATCAGGAATTATATTAAGAGGTTTAACATCCAAATAACAGATGTTCAAGTAAAAGAGACAAGGACAGAAGGTGGGGGCATTAAAGAAATAACTCAAGAAAATTTCCTAGAATTGAAAGACATGAATTTACAGATTGGAAGGGCCCATTAAGAACCAGGACTAGGCCTATTATCAGATGAAGAAAATCCTACAACCTGCAAAGCAAGATCAAATACAAAGAAACAAGAATCCCAATGGCTATGAAATCCCCACAGGCAGCAATGGGAGGTTTAGGACAGCAGAGCAACGCGTTGAGATATCAGTAGGAAAGTGATAACCCGTCAAGAATCCTATAAGCAGTCAGACCATGACTCCAGTGTCAGAGCAGGTAAAAGACGTCTTTCTGGCACACAAGGACTCAAGATAAGTTCCTCAGCTGCCGTGAGGGAGCAGGCACTGCAGATGCTCGTGGCCCTCCTTACAGCTACCAGGTGGCCTCCGTGAGGGCTCCTCGGGAGCCAGGCCGCCTCTGGCTTGTCAAATGGGTGTGTGTAGGTCACCCTCTCTTGTCCTGGGGATCACACCTAGTTTCCAGCAGCCAAGCACAGTGTTTGGTAACTTCCTTGCCACCTTCATTAGGAATGGTCTGAAAGCCTGGCCTTGTCAGTTCTTGGAACTTTAGGAATGCTTATACACTTACAGGTGAATGTGAGATTATGCCGCTCGGGACACATTTTTTTCTCCTATGGGCAATACCCTAAGAGTGGGGTAAGATCCTTATCAACATGTGAGCAGCAGCGCATCTGCTAGATGATCCTATGAAAGACACAAGTTTCTCTTGTGCAGTAATGAGGAGGGTGGAGAGGGCCACAGAACCAGGGAAAGCTCCCTGGGGCGCCCAAGAAAACACCAGAGCAGCTGAGACCCTGGTCTCTCTGAATTCCTGGATTTTGAATAAGCCTGAAAGTGTGGCTTCGGACATCTTTGCTCCTGCAGCATCTTTTCCTCTTGAAGGACCCTGGGGCAGTTACCAGCGCACCTATGCATGCACACACGCACACGCAAACACATGCACACGCACACGCACACGCAAACACATGCACGCGCACACGCACACGCAAACACATGCACGCGCACACGCACACGCAAACACATGTACGCGCACACGCATGCACAACTGTCTGAAAGCCCGGGGCTGCCAGGCAGAGCACTGACACGGGGTTGTGATGAGGCATGAGACTTTGAAGCAGGACAGATCTGTGTTTCCCTCCACGACGCAGGCAGGCGAGCCTACTTCCTCACATGAAAGCCAGTCGCCAGCACCTTCACCTGCCCCATCAGAGCACTCGCGTGGGCTAGAGGCTTTTCCCATTTATCATTTTATTTAAATCCTCCCACCAACCAAGTAAGATAGATATTACCATTGTCCCGATTTTACAAAGAAACGGAGGCTCAAGAAATCACTTGCCCAAGTTCCCACAGGGAGCAGGTGAGCTCAGAGGTGAACACAAGCTCCCAGGCTCCAGAGTCTCTGCTCTTAACACACACCAGGCTTGGCTGTAAAATGTAAATATGTATTTATTACTTTCTTCGTAGACCATATACTCCTTGACAACAGGGACTACCACCTTCACCTTCATGCCCACCAGGTGTCACACTGCAAGGCCGAGCTGACCCCCACTTTCCTTTGGTCCGCCTCCTGCTGTTATCTGGAAGAGGCGTACAACATCCTTCACCCAGAAGCTAGCTGTCCTCACCTCACTGCAGAGGAACACTCCGGGGTTCTTCTGAGCGAGGCACCCTGAGTCTGAGCTCAGCTCGCGGCTCCTACCGTGCCGCAGAGGTTCCTCAGGCCTGATGTGACGCTGACTGAGGACAGGAGCCAGGGTGGTTTTTCATCGTTCCACTCGCAGCACTCAGCACGAGGCCTGGCACAGTGCTGCTGCTCCGTAAGCGTTTGCTGAGTGGAAGAAAATCGCGCCTCCCACCTCCAGACGAGAGGGAGCTGGGGACAGTGAGATTTGTGAAGCTGACTGATCTCAGGATAGCCCCAGGCATCTGAGTCCCTGCGCCTTGGCCTGCAGGGAGCTGCAGTCTGGGTAAAACAGGATCATACAGGAGCCCCGCCTCTGACAGGAGACAATGGATGGAATAGCCTTCCAGAAGCCCACCGGCCGGTTCACTCAGGGCTGCATGCTGTGCTGCGTGGACCACCACTTCCCATGCCCACAGCCGTGTACCGGGAAGCAGAGAAGAGGCTGACAGGCACCAGGGCCTTGGTCACAATGGACTTGACACTGATGTGGAAAAGTCAGGACCTGCTGGCAGCATCTTCCACTACAGGAGGGGTCTTCCTAAATGCGACGGCACCTCCTGATCCAATCCTGCGGCCATGTCCACCTCCCACAGCACCCCCGGCTCCATGCTTTGAAGCCCGGCTGGCCCACACACATTCTTTACCTCCCAACCTGACACTTCAACTTTTTCAGGTCACACACTGCTTTGAAGCGCTAATGAAAACTGGGAACTGTCTCTCCAGGTCAGTAATCATGTGCACACAGAATTCTGCGTGCAATGTAGTGGGCCTATGCCTCCTGAGGACCACCAACGGTCCCATCCACGTCACACATCCAGCCTCTCACCAAACTATGAGGCTCACGAAAGGTAGGGCCATAGAAGCCGCAGCACAGAGCCTGGGTGGGAGTGGAGATGGTTTGTAAAAATGTCTTAGGGAACCTGGACTTTAAACTTGGACTATTGTTTTTGTAAATTTAGCAAATGATGCAACAGATGTGAAAACTGCCTAGTAATACTAAGTTAAAAAGCAGTTTCAATTCCGACAAATGGCTGTAGGGTCCCTCCCCACCTAGAAGGCCGCGGGGGAGGAGACATGACAGGGCCGGAGGAAGCAGCCCTACATGGTCCGCCCTGCTTTTCTGTTCACTAGCCATGTGCTCATCGGCACGTGGCAGAGCCCTCCGGGGTTTCCGTGGCTTTCCTCCTGCATCAAGCACCCAGGGAAGAGGGAGTGGCCACCATGAGCAGCACCTGGGTCTGACCCGACTGTCCCACGCATGGGCTGTGAGACGCTGGGCAAGTCCGGCACTGTCTCGACTGTGAGAAAGTGGTATTTACAACAGTCCCCCTTCCCAGAGCTGCTGTGAAAACAAAGGGCCCATCACAAGGAGGGAGCTTGATAGATGCGGCTCTTCTCACCCAGGGTTCCAAAGGTCTTGTTGGAATCAAAAAGAATGCACGTATAGACACCTGCAACTAGGGCCGGGCACAGTTGCTGACGCCTGTAATCCCAGCACTTTGGGAGGCTGAGGCGGGTGGATCTCCTGAGGTCAGGAGTTTGAGGCCAGCCTGGCCGATATAGTGAAACCCCATCTCTACTAAAAATACAAAATTAGCCAGGCATGGTGGCTTGCGCCTGTAATCCCAGCTACTCGGGAAGCTGAGGCAGGAGAATAGCTTGAACCTGGGAGGTGGAGGTTGCCATTGCACTCCAGCCTGGGCAACAAGAGCGAAACTCAGTCTCGAAAAAGAAAGAAAGAAAGAAAGAGAGACCTGCAACTAGAACATCGTAACACAAGCAACTGCCTTTTTTGTTTTGTTTTTGTTTTTTTGAGATGGAGTCTCATTCTGTCTCCAGACTGGAGTGCAGTAGTGTGATCTCAGCTCAGTGCAACCTCCAACCTCCACCTCCTGGGTTCATGTGATTCTCCTGCCTCAGCCTCTCCAGTAGCTGAGACTACAGTGGCTGCCACCACGCCCAGCTAATTTTTATATTTTTAGTAGAGACGGGTTTCACCATGTTGGCCAGGATGGTCTCGATCTCTTGACCTCGTGATCTGCCCACCTCGGCCTCCCAAAGTGCTGAGATGACAGACGTGAGCAATCAGGCCCAGCCACAAGTGTCACATTTTTAAGTGAAGAATCCAACCTTCGGAACAGTTGCCACTGCTCCTAACCAATGTCACTCTCAAACACGGAGAAATGAAAATGAATGATGATTCCATAGGTCAACACCACAGAACTGGCTTTTACTAACAAAACCAAAGAACCTCAAACACTTTTTGTGGACATCAAATTCCTTCCTTCATATTTTAAAATGACATTATGCATGTACATATTTTTAAAATTTAGACACATTTTAGAGAACACAATTGTGAACACAAATCCAAGAAGTGAATGAGATGTACTAAAGTCTGATTCAAACACTTCCCTTCAACTGACTTCTGTCAATCCTCTGTCCTGTGAAGTAAGTCCCGTTTCTCCTTTGCCTGCAGGGACTGAGCTGGAATTACTGTCACACAGCAGCACATGTGACAGACATGAGGCAGGGGTTAATGCAGAGTCACAGAACAGCACCTCTGTTGACATCTAGTGGGTAAGTAGGAAGGTGTCAACCCAGGTGGCTTTTTTAAAAAACCTGGAAATAAAATCTCCTCCTTTATTCCACAGATTTTTAAAAATCTTTCCCTCAGTGTGTTAGAAAGACTAATAGTATTTTTCAAACATGTGTGTGGATGGACTCACCTGGGGAGACACCTGGATCCTAGGCCACCTTTGTGGCTGCTCTGCAGACGCCTGGCTGCACCAGCTGCCTCCTCCTCTGAGAGGGGCCGCCCTGGAGAGCACCGTGCTGGCTGTGTTGCCTACTTGCTTTCCTTGGGAAACGGGGAGGCAGGACTTCTACCGAGTGCTGTGATGTGTTATGTTTTGATGAGGTGGGTGGGGAGGATGGGAACAATGTTATTTGGATGTGATTGGACATCGTGTGAGGTCTTCTGCAAAGCAGCTGCCCTCAGCTCGTGGATGACAGCATCCTGCCTGCAGGTTGGGCTGCTGGACTGCCTGCAAAGCCCATCAGCGGGTCCAGGAGGTCAGGTAACATAGGATCAGGATGAGTTCTATTCACAGAAGTCGTCAATCTAACAGGAAAGAAAATAATCATGACTCAGGAGCAAGGGTGTCTGCAGCAAAGAGACTCTCCAGGCATCGTTTAGAAGCTGGATGTCACACATTTAGGGTGCCAGCTCCACACATAATCACACAAGTAAAAAGGAGGCTTTTCTCCTAAGCTGACATTCTTTTTTCTCCTTTCTGAGAGGTGTGGACGCTGGGGCTGGGACATGCTCAGGCTGCCCCCTGCAGACGAGGACTGGGCTGTTAAGAGAGTCCACTTGTCTTTCATGACACAAACCTTAGCTCACAAGATGAGAAGTCCTTAGTCCCAGACCACCTGTTCCAGGATGACAGAAACCCTTCTAAAAACTGAAATCTATGTGACAGAATGAATGAAGGTAGGCTAACCCAAATTACTGCTCACATTTTTTTAACTAAAAGTCACACAAATACCATAATGATGTTGGTTAGAACATTATGTTTCTCATATCTATAAATGAGGGCTAGTACTTATCACCCAAAAGTAGACAAAAAATATGAAATGCATTCATTCCAAATTCAGACTTAGATAACTTTCCAAAAGGTTGAAATAAGTTTAATTGCAGGGACATGAGTCCAGCTGAGTGACTTTCTGTTCATCTGTAATAACCCATCTGGAACTGTATTTACTCTTCTTAGAACAGTAACTTATAACGCTGATAAACTGAGGTGGAGCCTGTTTTAGTAACATACACCTGGGTAAATGTTCTGGAACTGCCAGTGCTTAGTCACTGCTGCCTACAGTGTGGCCACCAAAGGCTTCTTGGGAAAGCTCCCTTTGGGTCCAGAAGTCTCACCCTCAAAGCTCCAGCTGCCCTGGACCCTACACAAAGCACCGAAAGCCTCTGCTGGGAATGGGGCCCTGACAGAGCCGCAAAGCACCCTGAGGCTTCTTTGAAACACGAAGGTGAGTGCAAAATCCAAACAGGAAGCATTCAGCTGTGCCCTCCCAAACCACCCCAGCACGCCCCTGCGGAACTGCTGCTCCTGTCCGTCCTTGGAGTGGTGGTTCCCTCATACTCATCTGGAAGGTGCCACAGGAAAGGCTGACAATGTATTATCACTAGGATAGACCCTAGATAATCTTTCTGATATACCAGATAGACATCACCTGTTCCCTTGTTTGTCAATATGGAAGAAACCCCACTTTATACATTTTATACAGAAAAGTGGACACTGCCATACATTCATGCGTGGTCAGCTCTGAGCCCCCAGGAATAGAAGGGCCTTCCATTTAAAACAACTTACACCTGGATACAACAAACACCAAGAAACATGCAAACACTACAGAGAATCTGTATGTGAAGAAGTCATATTTTATACTGATGAGGGTGCCGTTAATGTTGATGGATGGCTTCGATCACTCATGCTCTAACAGAGGGGCCTGTGACAGGGTCTGCTTCTCTTTCAGGATTCCCAGTTGTTTCTGTGTCAGGTACTAAGCAATCTGGTGGCTTTTGTTCCAAACAGGTATTTTAGTTGTCTTTTTGCACCTTTTAATCCCTCTTCGAAGAGTCAAGTTCAAATGCTGGAAACCGTGATGTCTCTGGTCCCAGGACATCGGAGAGAAAGTGAATAGCGCCAGCCATGCCTGCAACGTAAAATGAGGAGCCTCTTACGAATGGCACAAGGGTAGTGTCTAAGACAGTGACTTTTAATCATTTCCCTTACCAGGGGCTGCAAGCATGTGGGAAAGGTGCTGAGGACTCTAAAGATGACTTCATTAAAAAACAAAGATATCCTTATATTTAGCACCCAGCAGGTAATATAATAATACCAGCTTTCCTCACGGTCTTATATTTTAAAAATTGGTTACTGGGCTTTAATCTTATATCTTGAAACTTTAAGGTGACATCATAGAATCGCTATGGAACTTATGGATGCTGCTAATTACGATACTCCTACACATGGAGCTTCCCCTCAAGAACCTGTATATGCTCAAAGTTGCTTTTACATCTTCTTGATATTTGGTCAAAATCCCCACCCCAAATCACTGCAGTAATTAAGCAGCGGGTTTTCAACTAGACTCACAGCAGCATAGGAAGGGTATGGGATGGGGAAGGCGCTAGTAGCCCACCAAGGCCTCCAGGTCTCCTATCCCCACTCAAATCAGAACAATTCCTCCCTTATAGGGTTTTTGTTTAGTTTTTCTTTTGATATAAAATTCACGTACAATGAAACACACAAATCCAAAGTGTACTTCTCTGAGGGTTTGTCAAAAGCATATACACCTGTGCAAAAGAAACGCGATTAAGACCTGGAATATTTCCATCACCCCACAAGTTCCAAGTGCCCCTCTCCAGTCCCTCCAGCCCCTGTGGTCCCCCCAGGGGTAATCGGCAGCCTGGTCTTGGTCCACCAGGGATTACTTCTGCCTGCTTTGGCACTCTTAGGAGCACGGCCACAGTGTACAACCCTTGCATCTGGTTCCTTTGTCAGGGTTCCTGCAGTTCATTCATGTTCTGTGCGTGTCCATAGTTGGCCCCGTCATACTGCTGAACAGTACACTGCAGACCGTTTCCCCATTTTGCCTACTGAAGGTCATCTGGGGTGTTCCCAGCCTTCTCTGTAAGTTTGTTTAAAGAAAGGGTTCCAGAAACTTATTTAAAAAATCAGAAAACCACTGACCTAGGAGTGCCCATGAGAAGTAAACAGGGACCCATAACGAGCATAGCAGGCCCCACAGCAGGCCCTGCGGGGACGAGCCTGGCTTTCCTGCTCAGGTGTGTGGGCAGCAGATCCACTGGGCGGCGCGCTCCAGCAGGCGTGAGCTCCTCCAGAAGAGGTGCCAGGTGCCAGGGAGCCCTCCCAGTGGCTCTTCCAGCCAGCCAGTTTGCCACAATGGCCTGCGTTGCTAGGCACATGGACTAATGATCCCTCTATCCCGACGGGAATTTGGTGAGAGTCCCCCACAGTTCTGTCTGCCAGGCACTGGCGAGGCACAGGGGAAGGAGGTGACCTATGAATTTCCCGCCTTTAGGGTCCAAAGCTTTCGACCCACTGGGGCTCTGGAGGTGCTATTATCAACTAGATAAACTCCATTTAGAGTGCCGGCATTAACTCTGTTATACCTGATGCAAATGCATTGCACTTTTATGACATCGAGGACTAAAACTTTTATTCTAATAAATACTTTTTCCTTATGAGTTCTTTGAATATTAAAAAGATCATCTTCTGCAAAAGATGTGACACATGCTCTATTTTCTGCTCATATTTCTAAAAAGTGATTTAAAAATATTACTAGTATAAAAACTAAAACAGGACATACCACTACAGATGATGTAGACAGAGGATGATAAGGGGATACTACCAATAGCGTACACTTATGAATTTCACCACATGTACACAATTAACCGATTTCCCCAAAATTACAAACTATGACAGCTCACCCAATATGAAATAGATAACTTGAACAGCCCTATAACTATTTTAAAAATTGAATTTCTTTTAAAAGTCTAGAAAAATAAATCTCCAGACCTAGAAGTTTGTACTAGAGAATTCTACTAAACATTTAAGTTACATTAATACCAATTCTTCCACCAATTAACACACAGTCTGTCCCAGAAAACAGAAGAGAAGAAGATGCTTCTCAACACAGTTTGTTAGGTCAGTATGACCCTGATACCAACACCAGATAAAGACAGCACAAAACAGGAAAACTGTAGGCCAGTACCCTTCATGAATAGAGATGCAAAAACCTTTACCAAAATATTAGCAAACAGAAAGCACACCCACACCCACATATAAATCTAATGAATATCCAGGCCTGTTTGTGGGGCTTCTCTGGTTGTGCTCCAGTCTTCCCTCCCCTGTGCCCTCGGTGGACTTGGAATCCTTGCTGCTTTCACTGACTGCCTATCAGTGCTCTTCTTTTCAGAACTTTCTTCAATATTCACTTTTGCTATTTTTCTAATTACCAATATTTCTAATTGCCAATATTAATTATTCATACTTCTTCATATAATATTAAATATATATTAAGTAATTAGTAAAGCTTCCCATGAATACACCAATATTAAGTACGCAACATTACAGATGAAATACAGAGGAGTAAACTATTTCTTCCATTGCTAACAGCAAGCCGCCTATGTTCTGTCTGCAGAGACACCTCACAAAAAACCTAACAGCACTTGGAAGACATTCATAGGAGCAAAAAAAATAGGTAAGGTGAGGAGATTCAACATAATTTTCAGCAATAAGCTAATTTGCTGACTTATTTTACAGTTTGGAAGTATTACTTGAGCCAGGTCAAATGTGAACAGTGCCAGTCCACAGGGGCAAGAGAACCAATTTCACCCAAACATTTAAACCATAGCATTTTTCTCACTCTTACCTTCAAAGAGTGAATAGGGTCTGTCAGGAATGCGGCACCCGTGTGCTCCGTAATCTAGACACCACTCTGCAAACTGGAAAGAAAGGGATTTCTTTTTAAGACTGGAGTTTCTACTTGGTGAAAAGGTAATAAATGAGAATGCAATGTCTTCACAGGAATTAGGGAAGTGGACCCCCAGCTGTAGGGCATTCAGTGTGGGCTCCACGGGCTCCTGCGCCCCCTCTTCCAGGGGCAAGGCCTAGCAAGTCTTGTCACCTCTGCTTGTGGCTGCCTCAGCTGCAGAGTGGGGTCTGCCTTACGGCTGCTGGGAAGTCCGAGGTGAAAACTGAACAGCTCAATGACACTCTGTTCTCCCTGGCACCTTCCTCCTGCTACTTCAGCTGACGATTCTAGAAGCAACTCGAAACGCCTGCTCTATCCTGAACAAAAAACCCTGGCTCTAAAACGGCCCTCAGCAGCAGCTGCCAGCTCCCCCGGCCCCAGCTGGGAAACAGCTTCAGCCCTGCCCAGGGCGCCGCCTCTCACCGCACCCCCTCCACAGCTGCTGCTTGGCAGCCTCTCCACCTTCACAGCCCCTGGCTCTCAGCCCTTCCTGTGCTCTCCTCTGAGCTCCTTGACCCTTTTTTCTTAGACCTCTTCAATGGGTATTTCCATATCGTTTTAATAAACTTCCCTTTTGTGCCTAAGCTAACATAATTTGAAGAGTCATTTGTACACTAAGAATCATAAGTAATAAACATGAGGAGTATCAAGTTCAGCACACGTAAAAAGAAACTCGCTCTGCTTTTACCCTCCCAATCTGCTCACTCGTAGCTTGTCTGATGGCCCATCTACCCAGTTTTCCGAGTCAGACAACAGAAAGACATTCAGATATTTCCATCTTCTCCACATTTAAAAACACGCATTAAATTCTGTGGGCTTTACATCATACGTGTTTCTAAATGTCTCATTTTTTATCCCAACCTATGCTTTGGTTTATAACTCAACATTTCTTGCATTAATTACTAAACCGCTATTTAGGGAAACCCAAGTTCGCCTCATTCTTCCTACTGGGACTACAGCGATCTTTCTAAAAGAGGAGTCTGAACATGGATTCCAAACCCTTCCATGAGCCCCCATCTTCCAAATCGGTATCCAATGCTAGCTGATTACTAAAATTACTGGGGGAGCTTGAAAAATATTAGTGCTGGGGGTTCCTCATTTAACTGGTCTACAGTGAGGTCCAGTCATTATTTGAAAGCTTCCCAGTGGTACAAGGTTGAGAACTACTGGCTACAGGGAAGGACTAACTTTCTCCGGCCTCCACCCACCTGTCTGACTTCACCTTTCCTTCCTCACACCTTTCCTCACACATTTCCTTCCCTTTGCACCCCAAAGGCTGAAGTGCTTATGGAGTCAGGAACACACTGAGCTGGTTCCTGCTCTGCAGCTCTGCTCAGGCTATTCTCCTTATCAGAACTGCATTCCACCTCTGCAGGCCACCCCTGCCTGGCCCACCTGAAAAACCCCTCATCTTTAAAAAACCAGCGGCATCTCAACCCTCCTGCATTGCCCATATTTGCATAATCATCTACCATCATCACATCATCAAGGCTGGCCCAGGCCTGCGGAATCTGGCTGCTCCCCGCTTGCTGGCTCCTGTTCTGCCCCATCCCCCGTGCTCCAGCCATAGTGTCTGGGCGCTCACACCTCCGGGACTTCGGAACAGCAGTTTCTTCTGCTGACCTGCCATGCCAAATTGGGCCCTGCCCTCTTTGCTTCCACAGCCTCCTGCATGCTTCCATCAGTGGGGGAGCCACAGATGTGCGTGCATTTTCCGGCGCACCAACGAGGTGGGGCCCATTCCATTTGGGTTGAGAAAAGGCTTCATAAAGTAACAGATATTCAAAAAGTATAAAGAACACATCAGCCGCAATGCCTCCACCTAACAAGGGTCACTGTACACACTTTAGTGTATTTTCTTCCAATCTTTTTTCTGTGTGCACACAACTACATTCTGTGAAATGTGTACATAATAAGAATACTAGCAAACATTTACTGAGTCTTGCTCTGTGCCATTCATCTTCACATGTCCAGTGCATGTTTACTGAGTTTCTACTAGGAGATATACACTGCTCCAAGTACTAGTGTAGAATAGTGACCCAGACAAACAAGATCAAGAAGCTTATGTTCTACCAGCCTACATACTCAAGAAACACGCAAAAATATACAATGAGCAACTGAGTGATCATCCACTTGGGGGTCTCAAAGGTCCTTCTTAGAATGTCACAGTTCAGATCAGCATGGCAAGGAGCCACCATCCACATGCTGAAGGAAGAGTGCTCCTGAAGGGAAGAGTTAACGACAGGTCCAGCGGAAACAAGAGTGACACACTCCGTTCTTAGGGTGGCATGGCTGTATTACGGCAGGCTAGAGGGCAGGGTATGGTGAGGAGACTAGGCAGAGACACAGAGGGGGCCAAGGTGCGCAGGGCTCTGTCAACCTGGCGGAGGAGTGCAGGCTCCACCTACAGTCGATGGGAAGCCGCTGGAGGGTCTGGCAGGATGATTACAGACGATCTGCACATTAGCTCAGTTCTGCTTGCAACATCCTTAGGAGGTGGGTAGTATTTTTTTTCTATCTGTACAAATGAGGAAACTGAGGCTTGAAGAAGAGACACATTCAAACTCATAAAGCCAATAAATGGCACAGGTGGTAATTCTCATCAGGCAGTGACTCCAGGACACATATTCTTCAGAAGCCATTGACATTTGTGCTCCCCATTCTATAGACAGGGACACTGTGGCCCAGAGAAGCCGCAGACAAAGCTGTGTCAGAAGAAAAAAAGGAAGCTACAGAGTTGGGAGAAACAGATTAAAAGAAGGAACAAGAGTTGTACTTCTGGACTCTGTGCACACTCAGAAGCAGTTCCAACAGAGCCACCCTCACCTTGCAAGCTCGGTAGAGGTACTTCTTATCCTGCGTGAGACGGTAAAGGGACAGGAAGGAGTAGCCGTTGCCAGCAGTCCCATGGCAGATCCCGTAGCCCTTCCGCAGCAAACCTCGCTGCCAAATCACATCGCTACACTCCATGGCCTCTTTCAAGTACTTCTCCTCCTTAAAGACCTTGGCAAATTAAAAACAAAGCAGTGTTAAAAAGACTGTTTCAATGACGAGCTGGCAAAATACTTTCCCTTTCTGGTTAGGACATGGCATGATATTAGGAAAACTGAAATGGTACTGGGGGTGAAAAACAGACAAACAAACAAACAAACAAACAAAAAACAGCAGCAACACCGTACATAGAATCTCGCAATCTCAATTCATTAGCCCAGTGGTCTCCAACCTTTCTGGCACCAGAAACTGGTTTTGTGGAACCATTTTTCCACGGCCAGGAAGTGGAGTTGGGGATGGTTTTGGGATGAAACTGTTCCACCTCAGATCATCAGGCATTAGTTAGATTCTCATAAGGAGCACGCAACCTAGATCCCTCGCATAAGCAGTTCACGATACGGTTCGCCCTCCTACGAGAATCTAACGTGGCCGCTGATCTGACAGGTGGCAGAGCTCAGACAGTAATGTGAGTGACAGGCAGCGACTACAAACACAGCTGAAGCTTCGCTTGCTCGCTGCCGCTCACCTCCTGCCGTGCAGCCCGGTCCCTAACAGGCCACAGACCAGTACCAATTCACAGCCTGGGGGCTGGGCTGGGGACCCCCGCATCAGCCTATTCCCCTTGTCCTCCTTCTGTTTTACAGTTTTACTAAAATAATTCTAAAATTTAGTCTTTAAAATTAAAATTAAAGCTGCCATATCTTTTTGGTAAGATGTTTTTCTTGTTTCTTGGCACGTACATCCCATAGCTCTAAAATTTCTGCTCTTGTAGAAGGCAATCGAGAGTGAGGCCCTGTTAGCAGGGCAAGAATGTCCAACACACTGGTCAGTACACCTCAACAGGACCTGAAGACCCTGCCCCACCAGGCTGGCAAGATCCATCTTCACCCATCCCAAGGAAGCTGGCACACAGCTTTCTGGGGTCCAGGAGCAAGCATCACCTCCCTGAGTTTTTTATATGGTCAGCTGCAGAGACAGGCAGGCTCAGTGAAGGCAAGAGACGGCAAGAAGCAGCTGTGGGTTTTCACCTCCTGAGATTCCCTTGTACATTTTCTTCTTTCTCCTCACATGCCATATACTGTTTTCCTGATCCTTTCCTCAGAGTCTGTTCTTAGTTATGTCTACCTGCTAACTCATCCCATTCCAGTGCAAATGGGTTTTGGACAATGGATCAGAGGCACAAAGGTCATCACTACTTGGGTGGCAGGTCAGGTCCCTCTACTTGTGACTGATTAGCTGGGCACTCAGTCGAGAACGGCTCTGAGGTCGCAGGAAAAAGGCGGAGGTGGGGGGACTGGGCACGAACTGCGACCAGTGTCTACAGAGGGCAGAGCGGGAAACAGAGGCACAGCAAATCACCAGGGAGATTAAATGTTCCCAAAGTTAGGCTGTTAGGGAATCAGAAGCAGGACCCCCTCTATCAGTCACAAAGGCAGCTAAGATGTGGGCTCTGGGGTCAGACAGCCTGACCTGAGTCCCTACTGTCACCCTTTAACTGTGTGACCTTGGCTAAGTCACTGAAAAGTCTATGTCTTAGTTTTCTCAACTATAAAAGGATGACCGTCCTTCACCTCAGTGGCTTGCTATGAAGATTAAGATGTGATCACATCCTTGGAGCTTCTGGAACAGTGCCTGGCACATGGGAAGTGCTAGCTATTTCTTGGCTATGATTAACCATTACTCTTTCTATGGTATCGTGCCAGCACACATACTTCATCCTGTCACTTGCATCTTAAGCCTCTGCAAATGAACTGTAAAGGAAAACATGTTTTCCCATCCTAAGGAAATATTTGGTCAAAGCTAATGGGCGAGAAGATATTGTTTGAGAGGTTGTGTCCTGAAATCACACAGAGTGAGGACAGCCCTAAATTAGTGAGCCAGAGCTGCCCCTGCTGGTGGGAGCCCGGGTGACTGAGGGTCCACATGGAAACCGAACAGGGTTCCTTCATGCCGTCCCTGTGCCTGCGAGGCTGAGGCTGCTAGAGCCATGCCCACAATGCAGCCTGCACTGCTGCTTCTCAGCACCAGCAGCCTACCATGTCTGCTCCTGCCACCACATACACTCATGCTCTAAGCAAACAGCTACTTCTAACAGCGAGACATCTGAGAATTCAGAACTACAGAAAAGAGCTCCTGGACTAAATCACAGATTCATCTTCTCCACATTGTATTACAGCAATCATACATGGGCTACAAAATCCATGTACTTATCCACATTACCTCCCCCAAATGGTAAGTTTCCCTGGGCAGTACAGGACAGAAAGTGCAGAAAGACAGCACAATGCGAAGGAAAACCCGAGGGCTCTGGAGTCAGTCAGACACAGGGCTGGAGTCCCTGTTCCACCACGGCAGGCTGTGACTTCAGGTCAGCTGCTGCACCCGACCTGGGCCTGTGCGCCCATGCTACAAAACGGATGGATCCCAAGGTGACTCAAACGTCAGAAATAGAGACAAGGGTTTTAGGCAGTTATTAGAAATATCTTCAAAGATGAAAAGGGGACTATAATCATCATCAGTGAACCCTCAGAAGAGAAAGGCAGAATAAGACAGAAACAAAGGGATATTCTGGACCTAGAAAAACATCAATAGCTAAAATTACAAAACTCGCTGGGTGGGTTTACGAGCAGGCTGGACATAATAGAAGAAATCATTAGTGAATACAAAACTAGGGAAATAGCAATCATCTAATCCTAATTACAGAGAAGAACAAGAAATCTAGAAAACAAAAGCCTCAGGAACCTGCAGGAAAAGAGGAGCCAGTCACCCAGTGTACTAAAAGATACACGTTTACAAGTTCAAGTTCAAAGGATCTTAAGCACGATAAATACAAATACATCTAGGCGCGTGACAGTTAAACTATTAAAAACCAAAAATTAAGAGGAAACCGTGAAAGCCTCTAGAGAAAAAGCACACGTTCCATACAAGAGAACAGTGCAGAGAATGACTTGGAAACAACAGAGGTGGACGATGACGGAACAATGCCTTTTTAAAGCACCGAAAAGAAAAAAAGTCAACCTAGAATTCCCCATCCAGCAAAAATGTATTTAAGAATAAAGGTGAAATAAAAACAAATTTAAGACAAATGAAAATCAATTTGTTGTCACCAAACCTATGCTAAGTAAAATTCTACAGGATGAAAGAAATAATACCGGATAGAAACCAGGATCTTCAGGAAGAAACAAAGACCACTAAAAATGGGCACTACATAAATAAATAACAAAACTATCTTTTTTGCTTGTATCAATTAAGATAAAATATGCAGGGCTATTTAAAGCAAAATTTCTGGCCAGCCATGTAGTTCACACCTGTAATCCCAGCACTTTAGGAGGCTGAAATAGAAGGATCACTTGAGCCCAGGAGTTCGAGACTAGCCTGGGCAACACAGTGAGGACCCTGTCGCTTCAAAAAGAATTTTTTAAATTAAAAATAAAGCAAAAATTCTAACATTATATCAGTGGTTTACAACATTCGTAGATTTTATAAATATGGCAGATAGAGTGCAAAGCTCTGGAGTAAGCAGAACCACCTGCCTATGAGTTTCTTACAGTTTATGTGAAGTGGCTCAGTGTTAACTCTAAGGAGATTATGAAAAGCTAAGGATATATATTGCAACCCCTGTAGCACTAGTAAAAAAAAATATGCAAATAGATACAGTTAAAGAGTTAACAGAGGCCCAGGCACGGTGGCGCTCACACCTGTAATCTCAGCACTTAGGAAGGCCGAGGCGGGCGGATTACCTGAGGTCAGGAGTTTGAGACCAGCCTGGCCAACACGGTAAAATCCCGTCCCTACCAAAAATACAAAAATTAGCCAGCTGGGCATGTTGGCACGTGCCTGTAGTCCCAGCTACTCAGGAGGCTGAGGCAGGAGAATCGCTTGAACCTGGGAGGCGGAGGTTGTGGTGAGCTGAGATCTCACCACTGCACTCCAGCCTGGGTGACAAAGCAAGACTCCATCTCAAAAAAAAAAAAAAAAAAAATGAGTCAACAGAAAAATTAAAACAGAATCCTAAAAAATTTCCAACTAATCTCTCTACCTCCCTAAAAAAAAAAAAAGAAAAAAGAAAAAAAGAAAAAAGCAGGAAAGAAAAAACAGAGGGAGGAAAAACACAAAATGTAATTTAAAAAAATTTTAAATGGCAGAGCTGAATCCAACCGCATCAATAATTATATTAAATATATATGAACTAATTCCAGTTAAAACACTGAGGTTATTAGACTAGCTATAACATAAGTCCCATACAGGCTGAAAGCAAAAAGATGTGTCATGCAAACAGTAATTATAAAATGCTGGAGCAGCTGCATTAATATCAGACAAAGTAGATTTCAAGACAAAGAATATTACCAGAGATAAAAGGAACACTCCACGATGATAAAAGAGTCAATTCATTAGGAAAACATAACCATCATAAACATGTATTAGGACAGAGCCTCAAAATGCATGAAGCAAACAGTAAAAAAAATTAAAGAGAAGAAAATAAACAGCTGGGAGACTGTAAAACTCCTCCTCCCATGACTAAGTAAACAAACAGCTGAAACAAATATGTAAGACAAATCCGTGAGGGTCAGCACACTGCAAGCCCACACAGTCTGATCTGTAAATGAAGTTCCCTGGAGTGTGGTCATGATGGTTCATTCACACACTGGCTGTGGCTGCTTTTGTGTTACAATGATAGAACTGAGTGGTTGCAGAGATTGCATGGACCGCAAGCCTAAAATATTTACTGTCCGGGTCATTACAGGAAGTTCGCTGACCTCTGTAATTGAAGATCTGAACGATACATCCAACCATTGGCCTAACTGACATTTCTAGCACGCTATGCCTGATAACTAGAGAATACACATTCCATGCAAATGCACGTGGGACATTCATCAAGACAGACTAAATACTGAGCCATAAAATACATCTAAGTAAATTTTAAAACGTTAAATCGTACATAATATGTTTTGTAACAATGGAATTAAATCAGAAATCAATGAAAATATCTATACAATTCTCAAATATCTGAAAAA